ACATAGTTTAATTCAGTGATAACGTTTTGAACTGTTAAATTGAGGGATTTGGGTTTCAATTCATATATAGAGCATTGTTTCCCTCATCTGTGGGTGCTAGGTAACGTTACTTACTCACTGTTCCCCCCAATGGAGCATAGGCCGCGCACCAGTTTCCTCCAACCAACTCTGTCCTGGACTTCCCTTTCCAGTTCTGTCCAATTTTTGTTCATTCTTCTTATATCTTTCTCTATTTCTCGGCGTAATTTGTTCCCTCGCCTTCCTCTTTTCCTTTTGCCTTGAGGGTTCCAAGTGAGGGCTTATCTTGGTTAACGTTAAACCTCAGTTATACAGTTTCCCATAAATTACCTTAACTATCTGACATTTCATTATGATGCACCCAGTGAGACGTCCCTGGACTACATTGTAATTTAATTAGCTTAGAGAATATAAAAGTACTAGATCTGTAACTTAGTATTAATAATCTTTCATTTATAAACTTTGATCATGGTTGAGTAACAAAACAAAAGTTTAGCATCGATTGTCAGTTGAAATTCACTGAATAGATCACTGCCCTAGTGTAATCCATTGATCTCTGAATGAACATTACTAACCGAAGTAGTCCGTAACTGAACTATTTATCTCTGTGATTTATGAAATCACATCTTTTGTATTCACAGAAGTACCTTTTAACTGCTTTTGAATAAATCATTATTAAAGCAATAAATGATATTTATTAAGTTTGAAAAGCTAGAGATTATACACAAATTAGTCAGAGGAAAAATCAGCCAGAACCCCTGCTTCATAAAGATAACATACTAGTTGTAATCCGTTAGAAGACTATATCTTCAGTTGTGAGGGAACAAATTTTCTTCACTGCGAGATCTAAACATTCATTTATCGAAGTCGAAAGCATATATATATATATATAATGTCAGTCGGTTTTCAAAGCCATCTTCCTATAAGTTCAACTGGTTGACCATGGAGTAATCACTTATTTCATACTGTCCAGTCGATAATAGTATTGACTGAATTCCATCAAACAAGTGACAATGAAGTTATCAATCTAAATAACTTGACATTGCATACATGAATACATACATCTGAATGTTCAGTGATCAATGCTTTAACACATTGAAATAGTATTGCCAAAACATTCTTGCTAACAGATACAGAAACAACAAGACTAAGGCTGAGAAAATATCTACATTACGAAATGATTTGAACTTCCTCTTCTACTTCTTATGATAATGATGTTGTTCATAAGATGAATTAGAAAAAAAACTGACTCATAAGTAGATGATGGTTTTCGTTGAATTTTTGTGTTATGTTTCTAAAAGTTTTCTTCTAGTATACAAACATTTCTGTGTAAGAACTGTTGTAAAATGATCATTGAAATTGTAAATTTACTGTTGATTTTGATCATTTCCAAATTTTTCTTATCTGTTTTTGAAAAGAATTTTAATGGTTCTCTTTTTTTTCTTAAAAACAACATTAACCGACATTGTAAGCGGAAAGAAATTCATTGCGTTTCATCTGTTCAAAATCTTCCACATTCATATTGATTTGTAATGAAATTCATTTTATCATTATAAGGTTTGTTGATCTTGTGTTACGTACATTGATCAAATAGATACAAAATTATACATGACTAAGGATTTTCGCCAAAAATTAGAATTCCGTTTATGTGTACATTTGAATAGTTGATTTGTTTTGCATTGACTTGAAATAAAATTCATTTTTTACAGCCTATTAGTCTAAATGACTGCCACAATGCATATCTAATCATTTTGTCCATTCTAGTGACATTTTTTTTCCTACATTTTTGTACATTTGTTTATAACTGACATATTCATTGATCTACTAAAAATATTGGTGATTTGTTGACATATTCCATGTCTGCTGTACTATGACTGGTTACAATGATGATGATATGTTTCCCATTGTTTCAGTCTTTCTGATTGCCAGTGCTAACCATATAATTTTGGTTTGTTTTTTCTAGTCATCTTTCATTTAGAATTAATTTTATCGTGTTGTGTTACATTGTAAGAATGAATGAATGAATGAATGATTGAACGTCTGTATACGCCAAACTCTATTTCAATGTTCAATAATTAATCAAATTAGTCAAATTAAAAACAAAAAATTTAGAACATAATTAAGCTACTACTACTACAACTACTGCTACTACTACTATCATTAATGATATCAAAGGTTTCCTTTGTGAAATCATCATTAATTTATAAATGAACATAAAATTTTTTTTCAATATTCAATAAAAAAATTTACTAACAAACATTTTATTATCATAAACTAAATTCACCTTCTCTAAATTAAATAATAAAAAATGAAAACAAAACATGATTTGTTTTATTTTTAATAATCATGAAAACCTTCAATGTGACCTCATGTGACATTGGATTCATCAAAAAAAATATTTTATTTTAATATTTGTGACCCTGTTTAATTAAATGCGAAAGTATAATTGATATCTCTTTGTTTGATTATCATAATAATAATAATAATAATAATAATAATAATAATAATAATAATAATACTGTAGACAGATGAACAATAAAAGGATTTGTAAATATTTTCCATTTAGTTTATCAATACAAATGAATTGAGTGCAAAAATAATATACTCAATCTGATTGTACATCTCTAAAAACCAGAACATTCGTTTGATTAACAATAAGAAAGCTTAACATTATGTAGAATAGGTGTGGTGTTATTCGTAGCGCAATTCCAGAATATTGATCGTGCGCCTTGGCAATTGCAACTAATGTTGCATCCATTGATGATAATGTATTGAGTTCGAATGCCAATATGATGATGAATATTGGAATGTAGGTATATTAAATTGATAAGTCCAAAGTTGCAAGAAACACAGCTACTCTTTACCAGTGCAATTTTACAATCCATCTATTCAATAGAATACTTGTAACAGAATGATTATATTGAGACAATGCTCTTTGAATACACATTAAAATAAACTGATCGAAATTCGATCCTAAATTTCAACTAAGCGAATAATCAAAAACTTAATAATGATAATATGACATCCAACTATTCAAAATTCCTACTTAGTGTGTTTTGTTCCGAGTATGTGGATTATACATAATCGGCTTTCGTCATCATAATGTCTGATCCAATAATTAAAGACAAAGAGTCGAAGGATTTGATTGTTTTTGACTGTGACTTTAACGATACTACGTAGAAGTTTTCGGAGATACAGTTAATGTTCGACCTCTTAATTCGAACATCTGTTACCTCAGATGAAAACAAAATAAATAATCTTAATTTCCTTAATTCTCTTACGGAACCTTCCAGTAACGTAAATGAATGCAAAATTGAGCGTGATTCATTATTAGACTCGGTAGAAGATCCAGTTAGATCTCAGCTCGTGAAACCTGTAGATCTACTTCTATCTCACCCAGTAAAGGATGCTGATAATCTTCCTCAAAGAGATACTTTCGCTTTGTCAGATGAAGTGCTTCATTCCGCATCAGTTGTAGATTTGAATGAGGGTGCCCGTTCAGTAAAGCCACAAATTAGCACCAGTTCAATGGAAATTCAGGAACAAGAAACTCCAAATTAATGATACTGCATATGGTTTTAAACTCCAATCTACCAATATTGATCAGAATTTAGAATTCACTTCTTCAGCTTCATGCAAAAATTCCCAGAGTAATAATTTTAGCGCAACTCACAGTTTAGTGAACTCAACCGTCACCAATGTTTCTCCGAAGTTATCAGGCTTTACACAATATGTACTCTTCATTCATCCAAGTCCATTTTCTCCTGAAAAAAATTTATGTAGGAATAGAGGATTGGAAAATGCAAGCAAAAAAAAATAACACTAACTGGTGCAAAATTTGAAAAAAAATGAAGTTTCATTGAAATATCATCAAAAATAACAATCTTCAATGATTCATTAAAAAAAAATTTCAGAACTTTGATATCTTAACTTCTTGCTCCTCCTCCTCCGACTACCATTACTACTTCTAACGTTTTTCAATATAATTAGTGAATAATATTTGTTGAACGACATAGAAATGCTTTCATTTGAGACTTCTTACTCAGGGCTTCCAAAAATAACAAATCAGTCAGCAGTTTTAGTTCTCAATGTGTAAACGCAACAGAATATTTCAAAAGAACTACATAGGATTATTTATTTTTGAGTTTTTGGTCTGTCTTAACGAAGGACATCCTATTTTATTTGGGTGTCGACATCTTACTTAGTCAAATTTATATTTTATAACTATGCCTCATTTAAATACTCATCATACCAGTTTCGAATAGTCGATGTGTTTCCAAATCATTGAAATGCAGCCAAGAAATAACCTTCTCAAAACTTCTCACTATCTTTACATACAATTTACATACAATCATTTATGTAATTTAGTTATCTGGGATCTGACTTCGATTTGAACGAATGTTTGAATATGCTATGAAAGTAAATCTCCCCTTTAATTTTCTTACATTACATTTGGGCTAACATAGCTTGTGTGATGGCTTTATCAAGAAGCCCAATGCACTTATATTTGCATGAATTTATTTCATACATTCACTCAAGGAGACTGACGATAGCAAGAACTGTAAAACCGAGAAGGAGTGTGTCATATCAGTCCGATGAGGCATGACTAAATATTAATAATCAGACATGTGATAAGCAAAGTAAGCAATCCACACACTCAAGCAAATAAAAACAACCAAGTTTTTAAGCGAATAGTTGACACCGTCAGAAGACTGAATGGTACAAGCCATGTGGTCTCAACTTATTAGTACACACTATAGCATACTACTCTTCTGTGATAACTAAATAAAGCCAAATTGGTGAGAAAAATCCTTGATCAATGCTTTTTACTAAAACTCCATAATCAACAGAGCCCTTAAACTTACACTGAGAGAATATTTTAGAGCTGTACAATACGAGTTTACTAATAGAAATTAATAATGTAAATTCGAAAAGTTGATTTTTATTAACAAAGTTTTTTTCTGAAATCCCTGTATTTTTAGTTCGCGGTTCGGAGCTGTTCAATCAATACAATCTGCTGAAGACGAAAATAGCTCTTCACATTTAGGTAAGTATGTAGTACTTAGAAAATATAGATCTGTTCCACAGTTGTAGACTGATCATAATGTGACTACCTAATATATATGGTCTTATATCAAAGTGACATCATTGTTTAGACTAACTTGTCCTGTCTTGACAGTTAGTATTATACTTTCTAGGACTTCTAATTAATATATTTGATATGAACAGCAAGTGTTTACAAAGAGTTACTACACTTACATGACCGAGCCATGCCGTCTAAATTAAATCCTCTCACGTTCACCATCTCTGACATTTCCCAGGTAATCAATATTTAATGTAGGTCTCAGTTATCGTACGTTTGGCATCAAAGGCCGTGTGGTTTAGAACTAATACTACTACACGTATTTCAGTCTTATTCATTATCGTCTTACGTGAACGATATTCTCACGTTATATTCATCACGGGCTGATCACAGTTAGGGTTTCGTTGAGAATCAGAATGTGCTAGACAGCAGTTTCATCTCAGTATCAAACTCATTAGCAACATGTCCTCATAAGCTAACGAGAGATTAGACCTATGATCTCCATATATCGTGGCGAATACTTAACCAATAGGTCCATGTCAGATAGAACAAGAACCTGGTCAGTCAAATTGTAGCAGGCTAAATGATCTGTACGTTACGCTTAGTAGATGAGGTTTTAGATAATCAGTGTATTTCTTAGTTGTTCATAAACACATCACCTTTTTTCTATTTAATGTGTAGAAATGACATTTTCTGGAAAACTTGATATTTGTCTCATTTCTTTTAGATTACAATAGTGGTTGTAGTGTCGGACAAAATAAGGTTACAGCCAGTGAAACATTGAAAGAACTTGAATGGTGTTTAGAAAAATTAGAAAATATACAAACTCATCGATCTGTTAGCGATATGGCATCGAGTAAAGTAAGTTGTTTATCTTTTCTCATTTCATTGTTTTTCATTATTTTTGTTTTTAATTCTGAACAGTATTTTTTTTTTTGGGGGGGGGGATAATCTATATGATGACAGAAAAGAAGAGGTTTTTGGCTCAAGATCACTTACACAACACCAAATTCCCTATTACTAGGTAATTACATCAATGGGAGTAAACACTAGACTGAGCACTGGATTGATGAATCACGACAACTGAATATGTGATACACTCGACTCGATTATTCAACGAACGATAAGAAATCAGATAATAAGAATTCGACATGAGTTCATTAACACGTTAAAAAATAGTTAACAAGTATGGTCAGATAAAACAAAAGTGGAATTAACATTGCGGCTAAGATAGTCTCCTATAGTTTATGTCTCTCTGTCTTCACTCGTCGACCAATCACAATTTTCTTCGGCTTGACACATCATTTTGATTTTCGGTTTCAACATTTGTCTATACTTCAGTTTGACACTTTCGTCTGACTATTACCATGGTAATAATGTTAATTCGACGTAATAAAGCAAAAGTTCACTGCATACATTTCTTACATTTTCCTAATATTTTGTGTTAAACTACAAACTGCCTATAGATTGGGATTCTGGAAACACTGAATGGGCATTTCGTGCCAGCATGGGACTTGTCAGCAGTGCGGATCCACATCCCTGCAAGCGGGAATCGAACCCAGGTCTCGGTCGCGAATGCTTAGCCTCTTGACCATTGAGTCGTCAACATCCAACAGTGTTAACGTTTAACTTGAATCAATCCATGATATTATGCTTCACTATCTAATGTACTGATAAGATTCACGTACATGTAGAATTATTCTCCCACCAATCCAAATTATTAGTTGTCAAGAGACTTTTTGTTATACTCGGTTTCTAACTATTTTATATGCTATTATTACAACTTCAAATTAATGATCCGAAATAGCCAAGTTTAATGCAAAATACATCGTTGCAGTAAAGATTTTTTATGAAATAAAATAAATTTGTTATTGTTAAGATGATTAATATGCACTATTAACTTGGGAAGCTTTATACGTTCAATGAAATTGTGACATTAATGATCAGAATAAATATCGATCAGATATGGTGGTAGAAATAATGATGCAGTTACTGAATTTGCTAAAATGTTTAGCGGATAATGTTATGTAAATTCAAGAAGAAATAATAAAGTGGGATAGATGTTAAGTAAATTGATCATGTGCTTAGGGGATTAATAGTGATATTAGACTAATAATTATTATTATGATAATGATTTGTCAATATAGGTAACACAGACAATGTACATAGTCGAATTAAGTCATTCTTTCTTTGACTATCGGTTAATTGGGCCTAGGGTTGACCACGGTAAGAGAAGAGGTTGAATGTATGTTGTTTGCACATAACTTCAGCTTTTTCATCCAAATCGCCATTACTTCAACCGTTTGAAGAATTTGGAGTCGAACTGATTTTGAAAGAAAATTACTAACCTTAAAAATTAGTCAGAAAGATTTATCTATACTGGCGTTATGACCCATTCACACCAAACGGCTGAATATTGAGCTGTTCATCGGCTCCACCACTTATTTGCTTAGGGACTCTAGGATGTGTTCATGAACACGAAACTGTAAATTCCTTGAACTCCAATCAATACAAGTCTTTTTTTAAGTAGGTGAACTATAATTGTCAGTGGAATCGATGACTCTGGTTTTGTCCTATTTGAAACTCGTCAGCTGAATGTGCATGCTATCTGGGCTTAGTAGTTCAATAGCTAATGCTTTTGATGTTTGGAGCTAAAACTACTGTAATGGAGTCTCGTTATGAGCATCAAAGCGAGACGAGCGACCTGGATTTCAATTTCAACTACAGTCCACTTCTTCTATATTTTATCTGGTTTAAAATCTCTTCGTTTACCTTCGTATTTATACTACACTGATAAGTTAAAATCGTTGGGGCGCTTCAAACTGTTCCTTGGAAAAGTCTACAGATGCCCATAAAACTCTTGGGAACAGTTTATCTACTCATTATTTTAGAAACATATTGAAAAGGCAGAATCACTTCTCACGATTTTTATTGGGCATGTGTTCATACCGCCATTATATTTACTATGGTTTCTGAAACTTACAGAAACCGAAGGACGTGTTTAACGCCATAAATACTCACGTTTTTCCGGTTTATATAAACGAACCTTGAAGTAAAGCATTCTTTTCACACTTCACACTTCTCTGGTGTTCAAGTTTTTGAGTAGACTTAGTATGAGGTTATTTAAAGTGGTTAGGAAATCGAATGGAATGTTCATTGAGAAGGTGTATCAAACACGACTAATGATATATGTATATGGAGTTATTAATATGTTATCAATACAAAATTACTCTAAAAGATAAACATTCCTTTTATTAGAAAAAAAAGCATAGTTTACTTTCAGTCTAACTTCCAGATCAAATTGTTGTTTCCATTTTTGTTAAGATAAACTTTTCCCTTATCTTATTTAACATTTATGCATTTAGATATAGACTAATTTAGAAGTGATTTATTGAACACACAGAAACATTTAAAATCCAATGTCAGCTTATAAAGATGTCAAATTACAAAGAAAAACAGTAGAACTATTTAAACCAAAACAAATTTATGTAAAAGACAGATAAAATTAAGATTATGTTGAAAAGAAAACAAACTATTTTAAGCGTATGACAATAATTTCAATGTAGGTGATATTTTATTTGATATTGTTTAACAGATGCTGATGTTTCATCGTCGAAATGGTAAAAAAAACATGCGTTAAGCGGTTATAGGTGGGTAGTTAACAAGAAGTTCCGTATAGTTGTTGCCAGTTATCATTAAATAGAACCTTGAGAGAACACAGTTATATTTCGTAACTTTCAAACATTTTACCAGTCACGATAACAGTAAGAAACATTACCACGGTTATTTACAAGCTGCAGATAGTCTTCTGTTGAATTGACCGATCACTGACCAATGACTAGTAACGTTTTTCTCTCGTCGTTAATGATGATTTCATTGTATCGACTAAGTTGTATTGTAGCCACTAGCCTAAACGATTCAAGATTGCGTACATAAAGTTATGATACTAGATAATTTTTTTTACAAACTACTGCTATTGCTTTGTCTGTTAACTTACTAGCATCAACTAACTTCAAATCTTTTACTTTGCTTTCTTATCTAACACATTCCAAGTATAGGTCAAATTTTGATTTGCAAACTGTTTATTGTAATTTGGAGAAGACTAAGTCAGTTAAAAAAGAAAACATTACATTGAACACTTTATTTGCACACCATCTTTGAGTCCTGACTTCCAACGCTCCATCCTTCTTCCATTCCTGTTGTTGCTTCCTTTCCTTCCTCTGTTGGTATTCCATTTACTTTATTGCTTTTGCTCTATTTGCTTTCCGTTTTCCTCTTGTGACCGTCAGACTTCTTCTTTCACTACTTATATCGTTCGTATAAGTAGCACACACCACAGTATTATAGTTCTGCATCATAATTTAGGAAAACCTGCCATATACAATCTATAGAAAATTTGGAATTTGATATGTTTAACACTCTCGTTTCTATCCTGTAGTAGTGAAAATTAACTCTCAGTAATCATCTTATACATCTTCAGCAGTGCATAAACATATTGCTACCAATCACCAGATGTGATATGTGAATTTTTAGGCTAAAACCTAAAAGTTGCTTTCTCCACTTTGTACCTCTACCAAATTTTAATTTCTTACGAGGAAAAGACAAATTCGTACGATTACATTTCCGTCTTTTCGCATTTTTCGTTGATACTTTTCAAAAAAATACAATAATAATCTTTTATTTTATGTATGTGAAATGCTTCGTAATGTGAATAAATCATCTCAGTTCAAGGATATTCGTTTTTAACTATAAATTAATAGAAATAACTCATAATACTACATTTTAGCCAAATTATCATTAAAATAATCAAGTTTTAAATAATATTTAGATTTAAGATGTGTAAAGTTACATTGTTATTCTCATTATTACATCCTCTGTTAGATTTAAGCCTTGAATTCTTCAATCATGTTTAATAGGTTAGTGATTATATACACTATTCGCATAATCGCAGAACAGAAGCAAACACACTATGCAGTGTTGATTAGTTTTCATTCTTTATTCAAGTTCATGGAAAAACTTATTTTCAAATTTAAAGTTTCATAGCATAGACTGATTTCGGTAGCACAATCATTGAAAATGAAGAGATGTGGAACAATTAATTTGTCCTAGTTTAGGATATCTCAGCAATAAATAGCCATGACCCACGCACCCCCTAATCAAAGTTGGTCCACCAACAATTGAAGAGATCAGCATGGCCATCCGACAAGTCAAGGGCGGCAAAGCACTGGGACCAGACAACATTGCAGTTGAGGCACTGAAACCAGATGTAACAACAACTGCAAAGATACTCCACATTCTGTTCAACAAGATTTGGGATGAAGAACAAGTACCAACAGACTGAAAGGAAGGATATCTGATCAAGATGCCAAAGAAAGGAGATCTCAGCAAATGAGAGACTTACAGAGGCATCACTATACCGTCAGAACCAGGAAAATTCTTCAACAAATGTTGTTGAACGAGGTGAAAAATTCAGTAGACTCCAACTTCGTGATTATCGGGCCGGATTTCATAAGAATCGACTGTGTACCGATCAAATCACGACCCTAGGGTTCATTTTCGAACAACCCGTTCCATGACTTTACACAAACTTTTTGAAACATTATTGCAACTGTAAAGCTATTACAATCTACTGAAGTCAGCAGTACTGATAGATATCACTAGCTTAATTGTGACCTGCTTCGTGATATAGCTCCTTGAATTCTAGCGGTAAGCTACAACCCGTGAAATTCACTTTGAGTTAGGCTTGAGATAGCTATCTCTCTTAGGTAATGGATGAGGGTTTCTTTAAATTAATGACTGGTTGAAGTTGACTGTCAACACCTTTGGATACCGGCTTAGTTGTCTACAAATCAAGCGTTCGTGCGCGAGATATAGGATTCCGGTTTCCACTCGTACATGAAGGGTAGTAGATGCACATTAGTGATGAGTCCCATACCAGGACTAAATGGTTGTCCACTGCTTCCAGGTTTTCACTGGTGGTCTAGCTAAGGTCAGTTCACTATTTCGACTGTGTAAATAAAACTATCTCCACAAGTCGCTTGTATCGAAAAAGTAATAATTCAGCTAGTCAGTATGTTATAATCAGCATAAAACCTGACACATAGTACACCACTCTCATTCTCTACATCGCATCAACACGGTGAGATGAAATTATCAAGATGAATACCATAGTAGCATAATTAGCGGCAGCAGCAATAATGGTAGCAAAAAAGCTTAACCCAGATCAAGAAGAAAGTACGAAATCGTTGTACAAAAAATATAAAATAGATTTAAAACTCAAAATTAAGGGAAGATAATCAGTGGCTGATTTTTGCTAATGTCACTCAGCTTCTCCAACTAATGATCATAGTTATAGTAATATAATAGAGCTGAACTAATTAGTCTGAATCTGCTAATATGGTTCCTACCAACAGTTGGTAGCTTCATAAACTGATCCAACCGCTTAGTTTGGCCACCTCCAGTTTTCTTCCAAGTTATTCTTACATTCTTCAACATTACGTGTCGAGATAGGCATGCATGGGTTTGTAACAGTGTCCCAACCACAGTTGATAAAAATTGATAGCCTTATCACTTGATCAGTTATCTTTCTCTAGCATCCTGTTTTCAACCGCAGCATCACTCGATTGGTTGTACTGACACATACTATCAGCACTTCGATGATGTCTATGATCAGACAGAAATAATCTGAACATGTTCTTGACCTTTAAAGACCACCAATAAAAAATACTCGAATTTCATGATTTGAATATCTGGAATTCTCACTAACTCAGTGGTATATTCAATTGCTCAAATAAACATCAATGTATTTTCCTCTAAATAGATACGTTCATAATACTTTATTCCATGTAATTATCATTTTACATAGTAAACTATTCCACTTGAACATATAAATAACTACTCGATTATAAGCGTTTCAATGTTCCATTATACTAACTAGTTAATCTAGAATGTCACTGAGAGTTTTTTTTTTATTTTTGTATTGTTATCTCTATCTCAATGTTTGATTATTTTCACTTGTAATTATAGTTTAAGAAAATGTTAAATAAAGAACTAAGTCAATTTGCTGATGCTGGACAAAGTGGCAAACAAATATCAGAATATATTTGTTCAACATTTTTAGATTCAAAAGAAAATGATTCATTAACCACAAGTCCTCCATCAGTGATACCACATCATCATACACATGGAATCATGTCTAACAGTATGCATAAAGATAGTTCACTGAATAATAATCCGAATAATCATTCCGAAATTAATACATCTAGTACATCTAGTATGTATATAACAAAAATTGTTGAACCCCGTGAAATAACTACTACTACTTCTACTACTTCTGCTACTACCACTACTACTACAACAATAGGGACTGATATTGTTAATGATACTGTAATAACATTGACCAGTAGTAGTAGTAATAATACCAATAGTAATATTCCTAGTATAATTATGAGTACAACTACAGCTATTGAATCGACTACACTGTCAAAATTCTCCTCATCACTTTCAACACTATCATTAAAATCCAATAGTAATATGAATGTTAATGAAAATACTGATGATGTTGAGAATAAAACTAATGCAATGCATAAATCTACACATGAAAATACTCAGACTGTGTCAATTCCTTCGTCTAGTTCATCTCCTCCACAATTGCATCTTATTCATCAATCGCATAATGATGGTGATAAAAACAATTCGATGCATAGTAGTTCACAAACACAATTAGTACCATTTACAATGAATTCAATAAATCCTAAAAAACTTGAAAATGTAAGTTATCAAATTGATTCATTTGTATATTATCTTATTTTAGTGATGATATTTGTGATTGTGTTTTTTTTGTTCATCCACTTTTCAATGTGTAGTTGATGTTATGCAGTGAAATTTCAACTCAGCAATTATTTTTAAAAAAGAAGATTACTAAATAGAGATTTTGTTGTAGTATAAGACACTTGAACAAACTGCCTCTATGATTGACTAGCTAAGGTTGTTTCATAATGCAAATTACGAGATCTAATTATTAGATGGTTAAAAGTACTCGATAATATGTTTCATGCTAGCTGGATCTTGTCAACAGAGTGTACCTGTACTCTTAGTGTTGATGGAATCTTATTGAGGAAATCGCAATATAACCACGCTGATCCAAATGAATTTATATTCTGCGTTATTATATTTAAATTTACGGCATTTTGAGATAACACATAGGAAACTCTGGACCTAGGTTTCCTGCTTCATAGAGAGTCATGGTTCTCTCAAAATTACCCGCAAGACTTTTTGATAACTGCTAACCAGCAAAAAAAGTCCCCTCTTTACAATAATACATAACTGCTAAACAAATAACAAACTGATGATTCCCATACCATGACGAAACGGCCGTTCAGTGCTTCCAGGTTTCTAATGATGGCCTAACACTGACCGATTCATGGTTTCAAAATATGTGTAACTTTACAATTTTCACAACCCTGTAATGAAATTGAAAAGTGAAAAATTATTTCTTACTTGTCAAAATGACAAATAATTCACTATTATTTTAACCTTGTAAATTTACCAACTTTTATTTAAGAAAAAAAACAATTGTTTCTCACAATACCTAAGCAATCATTAGGTATACAGTTGGAATCTTGTTTATATCATACTGTAAATCATTATAGCATGCTTCTAAACACTATTCACATTTATCAATACTATCATCATCTTCAATGATATTAATCTATCAACCAACGCATGTTATTGGATATCGCAACTAAATAAGACCAATACATTATAGTGGAAAAAATAGTTTAGTCATTCACACAATAACACTTGGCACATACGTACATCGGTTCAATTCTCTACACCATATAACCACAATGAGATCCTAGAGTGATAGAATGAGTGATAGTTCCAGTAGTAGAAAAAATTAAACATTGGCAGTATAATTTCAGAAAATATCAATTCACCGAATAAAAGTATAAAAATAGTCTTGAAACTAAGGATTTATGGGAAGACTAAGAGCTAATGAATTTGTTCCATTGTGACAGATTCGCAAATATGTCATCTAATCTCTACAACGATTAGTTACAACAATTGCAAAGAACCTAACGAAATAGTATGCACTTACCAATCAGTATCAGTCCAACAGTTCATGATTTCATGGACTGATACTTTGTCTTAATTTGGCTAAGCATGTGTATTTT